TCCCCCTTCCCCTCCCCTCCCTCCCCCCTCCCCCCCCTCCCCTCCTCTCTCTCTCTCTCTCTCTCTCTCTCTCGCGTGTACCCCGTACATTTTCAGAGTTCCTATATCTCTGTGTGCTGTCGCCGAGTATTGAGCGGGGTGAATGCTCTTGCGCAATGCTCGTGCACGTACAGCAACCCCGACTCGACCTCGGACGGGCTCCTTCCTTCGTCTGGGACGACTATCACCCTCTCCCCTTCGCCCCCTTTCGCGGAGGGAATCCATTCCGTCGCGATTGATTAATCGAGCGCCGACAATATTTGTCGCATCGCACGCGAAATCGAAATCGTTATCGTACGGCGTGACGGAAGTTATCGTCGTCGTCACATGCCCGGGACGTCGTGATTATCAAAATCACGTATATATACACCGTTACCGATGAAATATCAAATATTATACACAGCCGTATAATTCCATTCCATCCAACAAGTTATCGGATTGCAGAAAATAATTCGACATCTAATAACCTGTTCTAATGAGAAGATCCTATTTTAGTCTTGTTATTTTCCTTAATGGACAATCTGAGATATAAACGATGATAAAGCTCGGACCTAATTGTGAGAACATGGACGAGTCCAGCCTTCCGATTTTAACTTAGGCACGTCCTTGCATGATAGCCGATACTTAATTCTCATCTCGATTATTATCTGTTCTCGCTACGCATGGCTCTGGATCACAACGAGATCTAATTATCGGCCAACTTCCACATAGCATATTTTTCATCTACCAATCGTCGTTTTATTCGCCACTTTTAGTCTGTATTTTCCTACAGTGATGAAGGTATCCACCGCGAGAGAGATCTTCTACCGTGAGAAAGACGAGTCAGAGAGATGAAATTATTTCGGGGAACAGAGAGAAGGGAAACAGAGAGAGATCCGAATAAAGCGCACATGTCGACATCGACCTAGCTCCTCGCTCGTTAATAGAGTCACCAATGACGCCACACACGGCGGATATTAGATACGAGCAAAACTAGTTACACGAACGTTACTTCGCACGTGCACTGTCCGGGAGAGAGAGAGAGAGAGAGAGAGAGAGAGGAGGAGGAGGAAGAGAGAGAGAGAGGAGGAGAGGAGGAGGAGGAGGAGAGGAGGAGAGAGAGAGAGAGAGAGAGAGAGAGAGAAAGAGAGACGACGACAAGCCTTGACGAGGGAATTGCTAACTGGTGATCGACGCGGTGATCACGCTGGAAAAATGATTTCTCGGTCACGCAACGTGACACGTAACAAAGCCAGGACGCTAGGACAAAAGTTCCACATGCGTGTGTGCGTGTGCGTATGTGTAAAGCGGGGTGTCTCATCACTAACCCCGTTTCTCGAACAACGAATCTTTTCGGCGAATTCGAAGTTCATTAAATAAAAATATCAAGTAACGTCCGTTGCATGTCACACTTTGCACACAATAGACGGCATTAAATGCCGTGGGAATTAAAGGTCCAATTAAAATTCTATTAAAAAGAAAGCTCCAAATAAATTTCTATTAAAAGGAAAGATCCGCGTCATCAAAATTAAATTTGAATAATCGAGTCTTCCATTACATCTTTGTTAAGAGAAAATTAATGCTCGAATTTATCGAGAAACGTATCCACGTTCGCCACGCATAAATGTCATCGGGATGTTCCATGCAAGGAAAAAAAAAAAAACTTGAAGTTTTCTCTCCTTTCTCTAATTAAGGCAACATTGTTCGAAACGACAGTTAATGAAAGACGAGCCAAACCCTTTTCTCCTGACAGTCTCTTCTTCGACCTACGTATGGCCTCGATAATAATAATTATGAAACTTGGCCGCGATAGTGAAAGTATCGCCTCGTACAGGACGTTTCATAATCAAGCGCGAACGAACGAGCGAGCGTGCGAGCGATGTCGAATTCGAGTCGTTGTTCGAGGCGAAAGCAAATCTCTCTCTCTCTCTCTGTTCGTTCATTCGTACATCAAATCTCAAAGCTATCGAGCGACGGTTTTCTCAGAGAATCGTAGCTCGGAGAAATTAGTTTGTCTTGGCAAAAGTGAAATCGGCGAAACAGTTGCGCGATGTTAACGGAGTTAGAGAAAGATACGCGATCGATATATGAAAGTAAACTTTTGCAGGTTTCCCGACTTTCGCGCATCCGAAATTGTTGCTAACGGCAAAAGCCAAACATCGATCTTAATTAAGAAAAGAAAGAGTTAAGAATATCTTTCTTCGTAAATAATGATATAATAAATTGTAAGAATTCTCACGAAGTTACTTATCTTAAAAATATCACGCGTGACAATACGAAATACGACTTTAAAACTTTATTTTTTGGGAACAAATTAATAAAAAAATATTAACATATACTTTATATATCTTTTTATTAACTTGATGTTACTAATGTTTAGGGATCATAAATCTTTTCATTGTCGAATCGTCGGTATTTCAAAATAAGTATTTATTATACCTTCGACTATAAATTAAAAATAGCTTGAAAAATGAATCAAAATGTTCTTTACGAATATATTCATATTAATTTAAAATTGTTAATATTAATATCAATGCACTTCTTACCACACGAGGCTCGTTTTTACCTTTTTAATTCTTGACTGTACTAAAATTTCTTTAATTATTTGAAAATTTTCGTTTAATAAATATTAATAGGTTTGTCTTTAATAATCAACAATATCTGAAGAGGAGAAGAGGCTTTAAATTAATGATTCGGTAATTTCTCTACGCCCACGAGTCGAGTGTCTATCGGAGAGACGTATTATTTCTGCGTCATAAAAAAAAGAACTTTAAAAACTTGGGAGAGAAATCTCTCGAGTCCAAACGATTATAAATTCGGCCTCGTTCGCGACGTCTCCCTGCACATTAGACAACTGGAACAATTTGACAACTTTCACGAATATAATACGCATGTTTAAAAATCAACGAAACTGCTCTCCCGAGTTATTATCTCGAGCGCAATGCGCGGAGTGAAAACCGATTGTTCTCCTTCTTGGAAGTCCGAGACTGCTTTTGTGTCAGGAGCATCGCTACTCAAAATTTAAATTTTAAAACGACATTACTTTGCGCAAAAACGCCGTTTTCCAAATTCGTGGGTAAATGAACAAACAGCGAACAAGCTAAGTTAAATATGGAATCAGCAAAATATTTTCAGTATTGCGATAAATAGAAAATTACGTTAAGCACAACTTAATTAAGAACCCATATTGATATTTAATATTATTAAAAGTCAATGTAATATTTAACTAGCAAACTTACAGCTCTTATGAACTTTTAATAAGTTCATCAATTATAAAGTTAGCTATTATTAGAATATACACCAAATATACAAACGTACGCCATCTATTAGCGTCTGTTAGGAATTAATTTCCTCGCGGTATGAATTTGTCTTTCTTCAATTAACGTTATGAAATATTACAAAATTATCAAGTCACCTGCAACCTAAAAACATTGTTTTACGTATACATAAAGAAACTTCTAAGTGAATAAATTAACGAGAATTTCTCCATGTCCGTGAGTTGAATATCTATCAAAAAACGAAATAATTATTTAAGTTGTAAAAAAGATTGTAATTAAATTTATAAATCTTCAATCGTTTTCTCAGTCCGTATAATTAGAATTTGAACTTTAACCAAGTTGCAATTTATATAAGTGACTTGATAATTTTCACGAAACGAATGCAATCTTACTGATAAAAAATCCAATGAAATCAATTTTATTAAGAAATATTCATGATTTTTTTTTAATTATGTAAAAAGATAATTCTGCTTATTAATTTTTTATACAAAAGTAACGTTACTTATTATTTGCAATTTTTTTCTATAAAAAAAGGATATTCAATGTTTCCTTATTAATCATATCTGAACAATAATAATATAACAATAATAATATAAAAATCATGTTGCACCGTCTAATATAATTTAAATTATTAAATTTTGTAATATGCGTGCTTACTCAAGCAGAACACGTCTATGATACCATTTCGTGTTCCCCTAAAAATGATAAAATGCACAAAACAAATATATTAAAATGCCAAAACAATAAAGCATTTGAAAAAAAATTTTGAAGTTCTATTTTAAAAAGTGCATTTAAAATTATATAATAAAAAAGACATAGAAAGATACACTGGTAAACATTGCCTTTTGTTAATCACATGTATCTGTGCACAATGTTTTTTCAGGTACAGTGTGTAACCCCTAAAGTACATCATTACAAAAACTTCAGCAAATGAAATAAAAGTAATATGTATGCCAATCTATTTAGAATAATGAAACAATAAGTTTAAAGAGTTATGTCATCATATTAGCATCATATTAGCATTTAAAACTAATTTAAGTTTCACACTGCTTTCCTTCTTTCAAAAAGAACATTTAAAAGACTTACCTAAGAGACTCGATATAACACAGTTGACGCAATCACACAAACCTCTCTGTTAGATGCAATCTATAACAAATGAATTCTTCTATCAATTATATGTGGATCTGAAACCAAAATTCATATTTGTAATTGAGATATGAAAGAAGAGAGAGGAAACAGAAGAAGACACAACCATTGTGTATTCTTCACCAGCAATCTAGCAGTATCTACTCCGTTTTTGCAACTTTACAATGACGACAAAAAAATTAAGGATATTAAAAAAAGAATTTCGTGAAATAAAATCGTCACCTCTCATTCATGTCAGTTTTAACGATTCCGTATGCTTGGAACGTCGAGAGTCAACGATTCGTCAGTGATGTGACGAAGAATTTGGAAACTTGCGTCTTGCGTCCTGAAGTGTCAACACGAATGTCAGAGACTTCGATTATCTCGCAAGTGACATCCTGCGGTTTCCGCAGGAAAATGCGTACGCCGCTATTTCATGACTCGGCGCGATGTCTTTCGCTCTCTTTTTCTCTTCCTCTTTCTCTATACAATTCAATCCGAAAGTCAAGGTTGCGTGCGTGCGCGCGCGCGCGTGCGACTTACCAGTGTAAGGTCAGAACGGTCATGCGAGACACGTTGTTTACGTCGATCGACGACGCCGGTCCCCAATCACGATGACGTCGTGTATCGGGACAATCTCGCAGATTTTGAGATTTCGCGCGCGTGAATTTCACGATGATCGTCACGAGCACGAATGGCCGGGTAGCCCGAAATTTACTTTCCTTTTCACTCCCAAAAAAGAATCTGATCTCACGCGGTGACGGCGACAACGGCGACGGCGGCGACGAGAAACTGACCGACCGTTGGCGCCGATCGCGACTTTCGAACTGATTGCGATTATCGAAGTCGATGCAATCGACATAAATCGGACAGCTTCACTGTGCCGCGCTCCGGTGCGGATAACCTAACACCGGCGCTCGATCTTGATTTTGTCTTGACGCGTCCCAGCAAAAGCATCACCCCGAAGGCAGCAATGTTCGCGCGTGAATGCGACATTTCGTTGTTCATCGCGCGATCACATTGACCGCTTTCTCGCACGATGTTCGTTTAGCACAAATAAAAATTCATCTCTAATCACGGAGACGATTGGCGCCTTCGTTTGACTCGCGCTAACTTCGCGGTGCTCGCACGATGGCAGGACGATCCGAGTGGACCGCGCATGCGCTAATTAAATTCGCTCGGTCACGTGACCAACGCGTTTATGTTCAAACGTCGTACGAGTCTATATAAATAAATAATCGATTATTTATTTCTTTAAGAAATAATCCAATAGTTATTAAACTATATTATTTTCTTTATTATCAAATACTTTACAAAGATATATATATATATATGTGTGTATATTTCAAACTCATTAAATAAATTAAGATCCGTGTTGCTCTATAAATTGTGTAAGGACAGTCTTATCAAGAGGTATTATTAAATGTTCAGCACCATCAACTGTGCGTTTAGTTCGTACTAATTTATGATCAATAAATTCGGTCAATTGTGCCCTTAATGTTAAATCAGAACTAACTAAAAATTGTTCGCGCGCTGCTCGGTATAGATCCTTAAATGGCATCCCTTAAATGACGTTATTAGATATTAAACAAATTAAATATATTATTATAACAAAATGTAATTGAACAATAATTACCTGTATAATTACTACTGCTATTGCTCAATTGATATTTGACAAGAATTAGATAAATCGCTCGTGCGTTCGAAGTGAGAGACAGAAAGACATTCTGGAGGGAAGATAACGCGAGTACTTTGCTTTGTTGAACTGACAAGGAATCTTCATACGCAGTTTCAGCTTGATATGGCAACAATGTTGTCGCATCCCACCAATAAAAATTAAATTTTGCACGTTTTATATGATCCCAAACTAAAATAATGATTAATGAGTTAAATGACAAATCAACTTCAAAATCCAACATAAAGATAAGTTTAACTTACGAAGTGGTGCATTTATGTGATCGACAGACGCTATGATATGAATATTCGAAACGGCTGCTAAACTGGCAAGAAGATTTTGAGCTTTATTCGAACGTAACATTATTCCATCTATATTGTGAATTAATAAATAAAGCTGATCATCTGGATTATTGCTCATAACTGTTTCAATAAGTTCTAAACAATCATTAGGATTTGTTGGACAATTTAATTCCAATAAATCCACTATTATATTATCGAGTATCTAAAATAACATTTAATAATAGTTGTAAATCCTTATAAATTGTAACAATGCGGTATATACTACACTTACATCTTTTAATGTTAAACTAGGAAAAAATCCATTTATAACCAATGTTGGATGATCAGCTATGATCTCGTTATGAAAATCATTTATTAAATTCCTTTTTGAACCTAGACCATGAAGCAACAAGCTATAACCTTCCCTAAAATATAATGCACATTTTAGAATAACCATCAAAAATATTTTCTATATTATTCGGCTTAATACTTACTTCAATATAAATTGCCACATAGGAAAGAATGATTTATGATTTTCAGTTAATGCACAAATACTTTTTTTGTGAGTTGCAGATATATGATTTTGATTTATTAATAATTCCTCTGTTTCTTTAGTAAGATGAGTATTCCGAAGTTTACCTAACGTATGATCAGATGTAATTGTTTTTCCTGATTGAGTTTCAAAATATTCATCAGTTTTTATATGCTTTAAATGTAAAAAAAAATTAATTAATAAAATATATGTATACATTGCAAATAAAATATTATTTATTATATAATTTGCTAATTTATTAACTTCAACTTACATAATCCTTATAAGCAACAGTTTTATGTTCTCTCTTTATCTTTCTAGGTGTATATTGTACTTCACGTTTTGATAAAGGTTTCTGTATTTTTAGTTTCATTCTTATAGCACTATTTTTCTTGCTTTCATCAGAACTTTCACTGTCACTACTTTTATCAGAAGTTTCAGGGTCTGAACTAGTTTCATTACTTGAAGGCATATATTCACTATCTTCTGATACACTTTCATCTCCACTTGAATTTACAGTAGGCAAATATTGTTTCCGAGATACTAATAAAAAAAATTAGAAATAAGTTTTAATTGTAAGTTCCAATTTTAATTATAAGTTACAATTCTTACACTGTAAATTGATTGATAAAATTTTTACTAAATAATATGTTAATATTAGTATTTACTAAATAATATGTAATTTGATAAAATTTTTACTAAATAATATGTTATATATGTTATACTTTTGCTATGTTGCACTTTGGTATCTGTAATCTTGTCATCTGCTTGACTTTCTGGATTCAAAGTTATCTTTTCAAGAACAATTTTCAGAAGCGGGAGTGTTTTTAAACTTTTCGGAGTCTCAGGCGTTTGGCACTGGCTGGCTTTAAGTGCCATGCTATTTCTTTTTGTTGGTGTTTGAAATCCATATAGTTTCTTTCCACTAACATCTTTTTCAGAGAACAATTCTATATATAAAGTATAATATTAGATAAAAGTAAAATAATATACTCATAAAAAATGCTCATCAATTACCAAGTGGTTTTTGTACATCTTCCTTGACATCTTTAAGCTGCTTTTCTACCTCAGTTGTCAATATATTAGCTCGAGCTACAAAATATAAACAATGTACAAGTTATAACATATTGTTAAACAAATACGATTAAACTGTAAACAAAATTATAAAAAGACCCAAATACATTCTAAAATATCTACATCAATCTCTCACACCACGCATGACAATTTTTATTAATATAATCTTACGAGAGTTCCCAGGTGTATCATCACTGTCTTCTGTATATTTCACGATAGCTTTTAGTCGTGTAGACCGTCTCAGATTCTTAGAAGAAGACATTTTCACGTGGACAAATACTTAAGATTGAAATTTATTCTGTTATGTTTAACTCAAGGAATCAAACATATCTTCTTCTTTGGGCTCATTATGATATTGTCATCTTGGCGGCATTTATGAGCGCTTTACACGGTTGCAGCGCATATAGAAATATTATTTCTAGGGATTCTAGATTCAGTAGGAATTCGTATGTACTTGACCCGAGAAGTATGTCAGTTTAAAGAATTATTATTTTAAATTGTTTGTATTTCGTATGAAGAGTTTTGAAGTGCAATTGAAAAGATTTGTGAGCCATTCGGTTAATTGTAATTAATTAATCATTTTTAAACCACCACATTTAAACCATACTTAGCTTGAGGAATGAATCGAAGATAAATTAGACAGTATTCTTGTATGGAATTGTATAAAGAATTATGAAGTGTCATTAAAAAGTTTTGCGAGTTATTCATTATAATTAAATATTTAAGAGTCAGCAAGAACAAACCAACTCATTTACATCACATTTGTGCGGTGCAGATACAAATCTGTATTCTATCATATTTTATTTCATAGTAATATTTTCTCGAGATAATATTTTGCCACGAGTCTTTTTTTTGATCCATATTTCACGAAATTGCGAAATCTATTATAAATAATATATATAATAAATCTATTATAAATAATAATATAATAAAACCAGCGGCATGCAATGTTTTTTTCCTTGGTTTGCTAGCTGGATTTGCTCTTATCTTCGATTGGTATATTTTTTTAAATCTAAAAGAATATACCAATCAAAAATAAGAGTTCACTAAGCACGCAAATCCAGCTAGCAAACCAGCAGGAAAAAAAGCATGTGTGCCGCTGGTTTAAGATTATTTGCACTATAATGCAGTATCAGGGTGCCATCACATATGGCGTAACTTGCGTAAGCGTAACTTGCGCCGACCAATCACATCGTTTCACTTGAACATCAGATTTCGCTTAATTACTTTATGCTGTTTACGCTATTATTGTTACGCTGAATCTAATTTTTTTGCGGAAGAAATACACACACACACACACACACACACACACACACAGTGAATAATCAGAATAATCAGAGTAAGTTAATTAATTAATATAAAAATAATTAATTAAATAGCTTCATATCGAATTAATTAATAATTAATAAATAAATATATATATTAATTAATTTATAATGTTTTTCAATGCGTGGCCTAACAATATCTAACAACTGATTGAACATTTCTATAATTAAAAATTCTACAATAATTATAGAACATTTTGTAATTTTCAAATTCCATTTCTTTGATCAGATTATCACTGTTACTCTGTAATAAGGATGATGTCCTCTGTAATAAGGATGAATTGGACACATTGTGATTGGTCGATTAAATAAAAAAATTTTTGATAGGTGGCTCACTAGAAAGGCATTGGCTGATATGAGTGGTGTGTTCGAATGAAAATGTGCGCATCTGGGATGCTCCCTGTAATAATCTTCGTTTTTCTGCGAATATCAGACCTACATTCTACCTACATTCTACCTACATTCTTGATAGTCAAACTTGAAAAGACAGATTATGCGCAAAGTCTGTTATAAATTTCTGCTGTTAGAAAATCAACAGATTGCTAACAGATTCTATAATATCTGACAATGTTAACAAACTGCTGCCAGAAACCTGACAGAATTTGTTGACATTCTGTGCCCAAATAAGAAGGAAAGGTGTGCGTCACGACGAGGCCCGACCAGTCGTAAAAACTTGTAATTATTTTGTGAAAAAATACTACTTCAGCCAGGAATCGAATCTGAATCTCCTGCTTACCGGGCAGACATCTTATCCCTTCGACTACCGATGTGATGATATTTATCGCAAATAACATGATTAGAATAACACGTCAACAATACAATGATACTCATATATACAATATACATACAATATATATACATGTATTCTCTCGAATTCCCACGACTGGTACTCCAGAGAGATGATGGGACATTCTGACCCTACTGTAGTCTGCCGTCAGATTGGCAGCAGAAAGCGAGCGCGACACAATTTGATGGCAGGATCTGCTCAATTTCTGCTATCAGTCTGCTGACATCAGCAACAGAATGTAAACAGAATAAGACCTCAGATGAAGTCAGTTTGCTAACATTTTCTGATTAAATCTGTTGCCAGTTTGTCGACATTCTGCTAACATTTTCTATGACGAGCTTTTTCTTGTTGGTATACCATCAGTTTCCATATTCCAAACAATTTTAATATATTATATCGTTTAATTTTATGTTGTTGAGATTGTTTCATCTTCTTCTACTTTTGCCATCGCTTCCATATTATTATTATTAATTCCACATTATTATTAATAACAACAGGATCCATAATGACTTCTAAGTACATTTTCAGATTAGGTTCACATCTACTTGACTTGCTCGTACACACATACTCGTACATAAAGTCTCGGTTCCCCATGAAGCGTACTTTTCCAGATACACAGATTACAAAAACCAATCACAAATTAGTTTAGCATTTCTGTTAGAGAGTACAACAGAAGCCTTAATCAGCAATTGGTTATATTAATTACGCATTTCTCAAAATTACTCGAAATACGCTCTATGTATAATAATGTGAAAAAAGGCTTTCAGAATGGCGTAACGTGTTTTAGTAAAATACTAGAATACGCAGATTACGTTTATGTAAAGCCAGCGGCACACGATGCTTTTTTTCTTGCTGGTTTGCTAGCTGGATTCGCGTGCTTGTTGAACTCTTGTCTTCGATTGATATATTTTTTAAAAAGAATATACCAATCAGAGACAAGAGCTCCACGAGCACGCAAATCCAGCTAGCAAATCAGCAGGAAAAAAAGCATCGTGTGCCGCTGGCTTAAGTGTCGGTCCATAATAAGTATTTAATCTTTAAGGGTCGGCAGAAGTGACGGGTTAAGGATACAATCCCATGGAGCATATCTCGCGTATTGCAAATCGAGCGTCTCGAAAATCTGACCAATCGAGAACTTTACAATAATGGATTCGGCGAAACGACTGAGTATCGAAAATAACGAAACGTCCGCAATTGGTCAGATTTTCGATACGCATGATCCGCGATACGTACGATACGTTCCATGGGACAGCACTCTAACTCCAACTTAAAATGATTTAAAATGATTATCTATTTCTTATTTACAGTGCAGATATGTATCTGTAATCAATTATATTTTGTCTTGTAGAAACAATGTTTCGTCATGAAACTTTGCTAAGATAATTTCTTTTACAATTATGAATGTACCTACAGAGCCAATTTTGCAATTTAGCTCTTAAATAATTAAAATAAATGTAACTATCTCTTACTACTCCTTATTTACAGCAGATATAATTTGAATTCACCCATATATCATTTCATAGAAGCAATATTCTGCCATGAACCTTTTTCTACGTATTTTTTATAAAATTATGACTCTCTTGCTACAGAACGATTTTGCAATTTGGCTCAAAAAAAATTTACAATAGATGAAAATATTTGCACCTTATTGTTCTATAGTGCAAATCTATTTACGCATAAAATGAATTATTTATTTTCACATATTTTCTTACAAAAATCACTCTGTAACTTTCGTCAGGCAAATATTCTGATTATAAATATCATAATTGTATAGCTTTTTTCACAGTATTTTTGCCGTAATATGGATGAAAAGGAATTCATCTTCGATAGAGATCTCCATAGTCTCTCCTGCCGACCCTTAATCGACCAATCGGCAATATGTCTGATTAAACCTCACTCTTTTTAGCGTCAAACTAGATCACGAGATCAAAAATGACCATTCAGATTTCACTATTCTGTTTGAGAAAATTTTGATCACGTGATCTAGTTTGACGCTAAAAATGAGTGTCGAACATCATGAAAAGTCAGCTTTACACATCTAAAATTTAAAAAAGTGGCGTCAATTGATATACTAGGTTTTTTTATTGCCGAACTAATTATACTAATTCACAGTTTATCTTTTTTTCACTAGGGGCCTCTTCCAATCTTCAGTTAAGTTAATCGACAGTTAATCCGCAAAGATGTCAACTGTAATTCAATACAGAAAGTAGTGTGTATTCTTTAACCTAATATTCTTTTCGTGTGTAGTTATCTTGATAGGTAGATAAAATTGTAAGTAATTGTAATTGTAATATCCGATAATTAATGTAAATAAAAAATATTAAACAATCATTCGCTTAAATAAAAATTTTAACATTTATTTATAATAAATAGTTTAGTTCTCAGTTGTTGGCATTCATAATCAAGTTAACTGTCAGTTAGCTTAACCGAAGATTGGTGAAAGAGACCTTAAAAGAAAAATAAACTCTGAACTAGTGCAGCCAGGATTAATCATGTAACTTTTCCCCTACGGCGGAAACGTGAAAAGTGAAAAATTTTACGTGAACTTACGATCATATACGATTTTGCGGGATCATGTAACTCTCTCAAACATGAAAATGTGAAATTTTTTACGTGAACTTTTTCGCCATGTATCTTGGTGGCGGAAAGGCGGAAATCTAGGGAATTAATAAATATGCTTCGGAATTAGAAAAGATTAGGGCTGCGTTAGGATTAAGTGTACGTAGTATATATACAATTGGTTATTAAAAGATGTATATAATACTGTACCAATACAATAATTTTCATTAGCTATAAAACCTATAAAATTATGTTTCATGATTTCATTTTCCACGCATCCAAGCTACATACATAATCGCTATACGTGAAAAGTTTCACATGAAATGTCAAGGTGTGAAAAATGAAAAGTAAAAAGTGAAAAATTTCACGTAAAGTTACATGATTGACCCCCAGCTAAAAAGAACAGATCCACTGACGCTCAGAGAAATGGCATCCATTCACTAAACATGTTGAAAATGCGTTCACTGATCAAGTGCATTCAGCAAACGTTTTTCCAACAGTTGTACTACAATCGTTGTGTTTTCTGAACGTAGCCTATAAGAACTGACTGAAAATCTATAATATATGTGACCTAAACTATATATTTGCAGTACTGGCAGTGAATATCGGAACGTGGTCTAAGACTACGGTCAATGTAAAGCCAGCGGCACACGATGCTTTTTTCCTGCTGATTTGCTAGCTGGATTTGCGTGCTCGTTGAGCTTTTGTCTCTGATTGGTATATTCTTTTGGATCTAAAAAAATATATCAATCGAAGACAAGAGTTCAACAAGCACGCGAATCCAACTAGCAAACCAGCAAGAAAAAAAGCATCGTGTGCCGCTGGCTTAACACTACAAATGCTTCGAACCGTTTGATTGTCCAATCAAAACAAAGAATTTTACTAATGCACCAATCAAAAAATGCTTCAAAGCGTTTTGTAGTAAGTCCTTGACCATACCCTAGTGTTGCTATTAGGGCCGCTTTCTCGCGCATGCGTATTATAATCAATAGTCATATCTAGGGCTGTAACATGACATATGTATATAATAGGCATTAAAATTTTGCTCACTACGCTAGGATGAGATAAGTTAAGTAAAGTAAGCATTTAAATATTATTAATTGTTATTAAAGATAAACGGTATTATTTATTATTTGTATTAAACAAATATAATATATATAACCAAAAAGGGGCTTAAAAAGTATGCTCGTAATTTTCAAATAAAATATTTTATTTTAAACACATAAATATGTTTTATTATATACTTTCTTTCCTTATATTTACAAAAATATAACTGTTAAAAAATTAATGTTATTGTAGATTATTAATTATTAATTATATTTAAAATTCTAATTATATAATTTTTACACAATTTTATACAATTTTATATAATATAAAAAATTTCAGTAAAAGATCAAGTAATACCTTTTTTTCTTCTAAACGTGATACTTCATTGAACCTGGATCTAAATACGCATGCGCGAGAAAGCGTCCCTAATAGCCACACTACTTTACATTGAAGTTTCGACTGTGAAATGTGGACAAACTATAACCTCAAGTCAAGTATGTACCACATGCGATAGTGGAATCATTTCATGTAGTTTATACGTTTAATTCAACAAACATGACAGATTCTTCCAACGAAGACTCGATGACAAAACTGAACACGCAATTGAACAAGTCAATGGTGTTGATGGAAGACGCCGTGGACACACCATTTCCGAATCATAATCGTAAATCTATCACGATAAGTACAGAATTATTGCCACCTAAAACAATCAACAGTCCTATTAAATCACGTAGGAGTATTCTAAAGAAATCTAATAAATCATTGTCCGGTGAAGACATGACGATCGGTGAAGTTGCACAAGCAAATAACACCTTTGAGAGGCTGAGCAATGTGAAGCTTGATGGATTGCCATCGTTCGCTTCTGATTTATCCAGACCACGCACTGTAAGTGGATCTTTAACTGTGTTATAAAAATAAAGAAAAATAATAAACATAATAATATACAATAATAAACAAAATAGATAAACATTATATATTCTTTTAATCTTTTAGCTTGAAGAAATAAGTCAAAAGGAGATGCTAGAGAAAGAAACTATATCCTCCACATTTAATCTGGACGATGTATCGGATAGTGAAGAGATCTGGATAATGGATGTTCCCAGATTAGTAAGTGATGATAGAAGATTTAGATCGTACCTAATACTTTGAGACAATGTAGATGTAATCTTGTTGGTTGTATAGATAGATCCAAAGGAGCTTCATGGTCAAATGATAACCTTTGATGACAAATCCAAGTTTAGAATTAAAGACGAACGGTATTGCATAGTTGCACATGATACAAATCATACTGTCACTTGTGTTTTTAATGCTAAAAAGAATGCTTCACGATATAAAACTGGTAAAAACATTTTTTTCATTAGAAAATGAAATCTTTTACACTTTGCTGTTCTATTATTATTACAAATTATTAATGTTGATATTTTTTATTTAGTAAATGTCAAGCCAACTGGTTTTTTATCGATAAGAAGAAAATTGTCTGGAAAACCAGAAGTAAAACCAATATCTACAGAGAATTCCAGTGTACAGTTTCCTGATAATTTAAGAACGAGACATCCACTGTTCGGTGTTATTCGCGAACGTAAGAGAAGATCGAAAAAACGCAGTTCGCTTATTTCAAGCTAGAAATTATAAATTCGAATAATATTTGACATTGATTTACTTTGAATAAAAAAAAAGAAGAATTTTATAAAATATTGTGAAAGAATTATCTGTAAAACTTTGTTTTCTCGTATTTCTGATTATAAATTTATATATTTTAAGGCGATGCTAAAGATATCGATTGAGCGCGATTATTTTCAGACAAGATTATCTTTTTATTGATTATAGAGAATTAAAAATCTTTTTCCAGAATTGAAGTATAGACATTAACACATCCGTGTGTTTATATTTCATATAAAAAGGGGGAAAAAATTAGAAAATTACAGTTTTATTATCGATTTTTGCGATTGACTTGTGACATCTTACTGTGAATAAAAGTTTAGGCTTTGACATATAAACAACACATACTCACCGGGACGGAATTACAAGGAAGAACAATGTTATATTTTTAAAAATGCGCTTAGGAGCTGTATAAAAAAGAAAAAAAACTGCCTGAAAATTTCATATGTATGCGTGCTTGCATGTATGAATGTATGTATATACATGAATATATCTATGAGTTTAGATGTATATATGTGTGAACACTCTTATTAGAATTCGCTCGTCAGTCCAGCATCCCCTTAAGTAGGGCATTTTTTAAAAGACATCTGATATATGACAAAAATATAAATATTGTAATTATAAAAATTTCCTATTATCATAATCGTTAATTATTGTTGGACATTTCTAAATGCAAACTGTTTCGAATAGCGGAAGTCGCGAAAGAGAAATTCGCATGGATTCGTTGGCTACATCGTTCGTTACGCATTTCCATAGCCGCAAGATCCACCCTTTAAACAAATACTTCATTATGGAGTCTGAAAAACGCGATAATAAATAAAAATAAATACCTCACGAACGATGTTTGTTTATACAAATTTTGAGACAAATTAGTTTCACCGAGCATCAATCGTTGTTTATTTCGTTCTTTATTTACTTTACAACTCTTCTCTAGTGACTTTGCTCGATGACGCCTAGAGAAAGATTCGCGGCGGCGCATGCGACATCCGGCTGGTGCGCAGTCGCGACCGTGCACCACCAACCACGGACCCCGAGATAGCGGAACACTATAGAAAAATTTCCCAGTAAAGAGAGAGAATTGTTAGCGGAAAAGTCGTGAGTCGATGTAAGTAAATAATGAACCCGTGTGGGATACTCCGTGTGGAAGCGACGCGGATTGCGGGCAGAACTCGGCCGTCGGCTCGTGCGACTGGCATGATGGAAAATATGAGGCGCGATGCGGACGTACTCGCGAAAAATCGACGTTCGTTCCGTCAGGAATCTGGCCTCGCGATTAAGGTTAAAGCTAAGGGATAATGTGGCTTCTCGGGTAGCAACCCCTCTGGCGGATGGATCGCGGAATCTCGCATGACGTTCGCGGCGAACGCCATCCTCGTCGACATCGACGTCGTCGTCACCGTCGACTGTGCTTGTTCTACTGCGCGGTAACTTACTGCGTTTACATAAATGGGGAAACCCGAGAGTCAATCGTCTGGGGTGCGTCGTCGCGTGTAAATCGGATTCGTTCGATCTCTCGTCTCGAGAAGCCTCGTGCGATAATTGAAGAATCGTTTCGAGGGAGAGAGAGAGAGAGAGAAGAGAG